AGGCTAAATGCCTTCAGATCAGCCATGTTGAAGGAAATTCTTAGCGCATACTTACAGGCGCCATCTCAGGAATACAAACACTTCTCCTTGAGAGCTCTTGCAGGGCAGGTGAGGCACCAGAAGACAGGGGAAAAATGTAAACATGGTGCCTCTCTCTAAATATAGAGGGAGAAAAGAGGAGTAAGAATTATAGACCAGTCAACTTCTAGAAGCTTTCAAGAGAATTGAACTATCAATCATGTAATTTGCAACCACCTAGGAGATAAAAAGGGAGATGAGTGACATACAGAATGGATTATACAAAATTAGGCATGTTAAACTAGTCTCATTTGATTTCTCAGCAGAAGTAGGAGAGCAGTAGTTGGTGCCATATCTAGATTTTGGGAAGGGTTTGTCAGAGTTCCACTGGATTTTTAAGAAATGACCTGGAAAAATAGTGCAGATAAACCCATTCCAGGTCTTACAAAAAAATGGGTGAGTAGCACAACTCATTCCCAAAGTATACAGTTATCAGTGGCTCATGGTCAGAGCAGAGGACTCTGTCAGCCAGGAATCCTCTGGGGTCTGTGACAATTTCTTTTTAAATTTTCATCAGTGAAGAATGGATGGAAATGTATCATTACTTACCCCTGGCAGTGATATGGAGCTGGGAGAGGTGTTTCAGCACATCAGAGGATAAACTTTACAGCTTCAAATTATCTTGGCAGACTGGAGATGTGAGGACTGGGTCTAGTCTGGGGCTCTGTACCTGCTTGAGAAGGTGTAGGGAGTGTCAGTGTGTTGACTAAAGCTGGCTCAGGGTGGAAGGGCTGGAAGGAAAGCACCAGAAGAGCTTGGCTGAACTGATGGATGGGAATGACAATGACTGTGGCCTCTGCTCCAGGAAGTTTTCAGGATGATGGACAAGTGTTTCCCTCAGGAGTGACCAGGCAAAGTGGCTCCTTGCTGGAATCAGCCCCCAGCTGAGCTGCAGCCCCAGAGCCCTGGTGGGCCCTGATCAGAGCATTGTCCCACAGCCACAGGGGCCCTGGTGTCAGCAGGGACAGGCACAGAACCATCTCTGGCTTTGCCCTCTTGGTGCAGTGGTTGTGGAGTGGAAGGCTGAAGGCACGTAAGTGCTTTGTTGAACAGAAGCCAAAGCAAGCTGCCACACAGAATGCACCCCCTGTTTCCAAGTATTTCATTTATTTTGTAATTAAGCAATAATTGCTGAGGCACTGGGCACTTCTTCAGGATTAATGACTTGCTGGGGGATGGCAGAAGATCTGATCTGCAGTGCAACCATTTTCTCCAGCAAATACCTGCTTGTTACTGCCATTCTGAAATGAGTACAACAACACAACCTGCCAACATATGGGTTCTGCTGTTAGCAGCTGAGGGATGGGGAGCAGGCATTAATGGGTACCTTAGGCAATCAGGTTGCTTCAGTTGTCTCTCACCATTCCATTCAGAGCACAGTGTTTTATTAGTCACTTGGTGAATGAAATGGCTTTTTAATTGCTCAGAATCACTTTTTTAAATTAAAGCACTTTATCCCCCCTCTACAGCCCCTGGGAATCCTCTTTAATCCCTTTTCTTCCTTTGCCCTGGAGAGAACCAGTTCTAGTGTGGCAAAGAGGAACCTGCCTGCAGCACTTTCCTTTGTAATTCGGACAAACTGGGAAAAATAGATGCCATTTAGAAAACAGAGGATACACTTTTTTGGTGTTGAAAACCCTCTGCTGCCATAAGGGGCAGGTTGATTAAGGAGTAGCCTACCCTGCCTAAACCTGTAAAGACTTTACAGTCTTGGCATGCTGCTCACTTCTGTTAGTTCCTACACCTGTATGTTTTTAATGGTCAAGCTCACCACAGCACACAGACCCCACTGCTTCTTGTGTCCTGTGCCACCATGTCCCATAGCAAGATCCCTCCCAGGAGTAATGCTGGAGCTTTAAATGTCCTCTAGACAGTAAAGTACAACAGCAGGTGAGAGGAAAGGTGTATCCCAAACAGGTGAGTGGCAGCATGAATGTTCCCAAAGCACTGTGGAAAAAGCTGCTACAGGATTGGAGCCATCACATCACCAAGGCAAGCAAATGGAGAAACACTTGTGAAAAGCATAAAAGACAATAAACCAGTTCACAGTGTCCTAGCAGGCTTTGGAACAGGAGTCAGGGGGCATTTGCTCACTCAAACATTAGGTAATGTGCTCACTGCATGGTTGATTAATCCATAGGTACTTCCCACAGCAGAGCTTTCATACTGGCATCCACAGTGCTGCTTTCAGTCTCCATGGCTGCCTTCTAGAGAGATTTCAGGAACAATCAGGGTGTTTTCTCTCTGCCCCCTTTAAAATTAACAGTTTTATTTCTGTGTTTGAATGACGGAGCGTTGCTCCCCAGCCACAACTGTGTTCACTGAGGGGTCCCAGAGCCACTCTCCATCCCTTAATTCTGCCCCTTCAGCACAAGGATCCCTGTTACTCAATAGGGAACTTACTGGCTTGGAGTATTTAGAAGTGAAAATGTCAGTAATCAACTTCATGGCACAAAGCTAAAAATGGTTTAAACTCTGAAGAAGCCAGAAATCAAAGCTCACCTCCTTCCCCATACAACTGTTCAGCCTTCTTTTTGCCTTCTGAATTCCTGAGTTGATGCCTGTCAGTAAAAGCCAGACACAAATCTTGCTCAAGCTGTGGGATCACTCCCATCTCCTCCATCCTGACCAACAGCTGGACCAAACAAATTTCAGCAGCATCCTCTTGAGGCCATTACACTGCCCCTTGTGCCTGTCCTCTCCCTTTCTTTCTCTTCCCTTATGCTTCCTTCTCTTAGTTGCTCAAAACCCAGCATTTAATCTTGCTTGCCCCAAAATCCAGCCATGAGCCAACCATCCAGAAAAAATGAATTATTCCTGGTGATGCTTTTATGAACTGCCTGCCTCCCATGGGACCCCTGCTCTGCTGTGCCTCGTGCTGTCATCCTCAGAGCTGGGAGGAAGAGCTGCTGTACAGTCTCTCTTGAATTCAAAGAGAATTGATGCAGATCCTTTTGCCTTGTGCCACCCATAACTCTTTATGTTGACTGCTCCTTTTGGCAAAGAACACATTTTCCAGAAGTTCAGCAACTTGTCTGGGTAACAGTAAATGATCCATGAGAACCAGTGCTGATACATGGCTCTGCTGCCCCACCTCCTTCCCATCACTCAGATGCCATTGTTCCAAACCTCACCATGACCACTGGATTCACAGGAAATAAAAGCTACAGAGTACAAGATCAGCCGTTGCCCATAACTCCATTGAAATCAAAACAAACTATTGAAATTTTTTTGGCAAATTGTCAAGTCTGGATTTACTAAGTCAGAAAGATTTTCATCCACCTCTGTTCTCCTCAGCTTAGGTGAGGGGAACCAGCAGCTCCCTGTGCTGTTTCCAGCACACCAGCACCATTTGCCTTTGCTGGAGGGTACCCAAGCCCAAGCAGAGGGCTCTGCCCAGTTCCTCAGATCAGTAGCTTAAAAATATCCTGATCACCAGGATTCAAATCAAGTGATTTGAATTATTGTCTGTCTGAGGCTGTCTTTGCTTGTAGTCATGTTTTTCCAGGACTCAGGGGTTGTTGAGCAGCTCCTCCCAGGAGCTCAGTGTTCAGTGTTGAGTAAGCAAAGGTTGAGGTGGGGACAGCAGAGAGTCAGTCACTTGTGCTAGAAAACCTTTCTGTGAGCTTCACATCAGGGGAAGGAGATCTCTGTTTTGGTCAGCATGTTTCTAGCAGCCTTGTTCTTGGTGTAGTCATCTGTTAATAACTCTGGGCTGGCATGCAGCCCCATTCTCCATCCCAGCACTGGATCCATTGCAAGCTCACAGTGTGAGCTACTGCTCCCTCTGTCCCAGGGGATGCCAGCACTTGTTGGGACCTTTGATGTTGTGTATCTGATTTAGAAAAAAAAAGGCTGTTACAGAAAGGGTGCTAGGTTTCATCAGAGACCAGATCTGTCACTGAAGGACCCTCTATTGTCCAGTGACATCTGAGGATGAGCAAACACGGATTTCGTTTTAGCTAAGCAGATCATCCTCTCTTCTGACATTTAAGACATAACTTATGTCTTCAATGGGAAGAATTATTGTCAAACACAATTAGTTCTGCAGATCCTAGTTGTTTTTGGAGACAGATCCAGACTTAGTTCTGGAGTTACTTAGAGATGAATAAATTACAGGGGTCAGTCTCCTGACCTAAGGAAGAGACTGCAATAACTTGCTCCATCACATAGTTCCTTTGCATAGTTTAATAGAGACCATTGCACAGAGCATCCAGCACACAGAGCTGGTAGGACTGTGGGTCACATTCCCATCTTGTTTGGGGAAGGGATAACATAGCATTCCTTGAAAGCAAAAAAAAATCTCAGCAATTTTTCTAAAGGAGAGAGAAGGAGGGAGGAGAAAGTGTGGAGGGTATTTTAAGTGCTTCATAACTAAGACACTTCCCCCCTCCATGCCTGAGTCCCCACGTGTACAGGGGTGTTTCTACTCTGGTCCCTTTTGTAAGATATCCCTGAAGTTACTACTATGAAAAGGACTAGACAAGAACCAGAGGGTTTCTATCACTTGTTCCAGTGGTTAAGATCTGCTCTGATGGTCATTTGTCCATGTTGAACATATTTCCATAGACCCTGACTGGGAAGGTAATGTGGGACCTGGAATCCTCCCCCCTGTGACAGCTGAGCATGTGAACACGAGGTGCTCCAGGCTTCAGCATTTGCAGTTCATTTGGGAAGGAGGTACCATATGCACCAACTGTGCACAAAACCTTCTTGATAGAGAGCAAAAGGGATGCTAATTCCAGCACTGGGCTCAGACACACTACTGGTGAACAACCAGAAAGGTTTAAAAAGAAATGCTGACTAAATTAAGCAAATCAAGCCAGCAGATGTGCTCTTCAGAAGAGCACAGCTGTCTTTTAAATGTCTCTCCCACTGAAATTACATTCTCAAGGGTTTTTTGTCCTTTGCATTTTCCTCAGGATCATCCATGAGGATGGCTTCTCTGGAGAAGACGTGAAGCAGTACAAGCCAGTGGTCTACAGCAACACTATCCAGTCCCTGGCAGCCATTGTCCGTGCCATGGACACCCTGGGCATCGAGTACGGCGACAAGGAGCGACGGGTGAGTTCAAGCACCTCTGCAGGGTGCACACACTCCAGACCAGGAACAGGAGGCATTTGCACTGTCTCGGTGCCTTGGAGGGGAAAGGAGGGAGGGGAGATTTACATCACTGCTGTATGCCTCCTGCACATGCATTTTGTACAACAGAGACACAATGGCACATGATGTGCCATTTGTACGCTTCGGCTAGGAAGTGTAGCCCTGGGGACCACTGTATCACAAAAGCCACAGTCTCTCATGTCCTGGCTCTAGTCAGGCCAGGGAAGAAAAATAATCTGTTGTCTAGGGACAACCTAGACAGATCTACTGTCAAATTTGAGAAAACCGTGAGAACATGAGTCCTGTGTCCTGTCTCCTGTGCATGTGCTGGACACACAAGCTGCATGGACTGATGAATCAGGGAGAAGTCTTGCTGCATTCAAAGCCCTTCCACCAGCCTGCTAATGTAGGAAAGCTTTTAGGATTAACTTCACTGGGGCTTGACTGGCTTCTACTCACACATCCCCCATTTAAGTGTACCCAAACAGCAATTTCAGTTGCAAACGAGGGGATGTATTACTTCAGCAGGATTGGTATGGACAGGCTCTTAGGCAGCAGCATTGGCATCTGTCTTATCAGAACAGCTATGTGATCCTTGGCAGCCTTCTTGTACCACACACCTAGGCCAGCCTGTCCTTTTACAGTTGCTAGTCTGTGATTACTTTCACCAGCTCCCTATTTTTAAACAGTGGCTCCTCTGTGAGGTGCCCCTGCCAGCCTCTGTCTTGCATTTCTGGCTCAGACCAAGCCCACACAGAAGAACTCAGAACCCTAGAGTAGAGTCAAAACCACCCTTTTTGCATGCTGCAATCCCAGAGAAGGTAAAACTACCTGATTTCACTGGAAATAAAATAATTTCAAATTAAAGACCCGGTAAAGGCAAAGTCCTATATGCCAGTGAGTTTGTCGTGACTATTTTTGGGTAGCTATCAAATGACAGATGTACAACATACTCCAAACTCCTTATCTGAGTGTTGATAATAAAAGCATTCACTAGAAGGGATGCCAAAATCCTGCTGTGGTGTTACTGTATGAGAAGGTACCTTATTTCTCCCAATCACAAAGAGGTACTTTGATTTCTTTGCATCTAGGGATTTTCCCGTAGGAACTCTAAATCCTGGAGACATTTCCATCCCCAATGTGGAGATGATGCCATAATGGAGTTCTTGTGAGCTTGCCGAGAACTAATGCTGATGGTTTCAAACTGAATGCATTAATCTGTTGATTACTCAGTGACTCAGCTCTCAGCAAGGCAACGTATCTCACTCAGCTAAAACCTATGCTAGGAAAACAGAAACAACTCATTCTCCATGTCTGATAAATAGTCTGTGGCAGACAGCTTTAAAATGTAATTTTTTTTTTTTTAAACACCTAAAGTCCTAATTTGAGGAGGGAAAACTCATCAGTGCTTTGGTGCCAGGCCTGGCACAGTACAGGGGGTGGAGGAGGAGAGCTGTTATCAGGACTGCCAGGAACGAGAGGTGGAGTTCTGAGCTGAACAAAACATTGTGTCCGTTCATATTCCCGTGGAAAAGATGCCAAATGTTCCTAGGGCTGTACAATAACTCAGGCTGGAGAGGAGCTCAGGAGGTGTCAAGCCCAACCCCTGCTCAGGTAAAGTTTAAGGTCAAACCAGGTTGCTCAGGGCTCTACCCAGCTGGGTCTGGAATCATTCAAGGATGGAGACTTCACACCCTCTTTGGGCACCCTGCTCCACTGCTCTTACAGTCCCCATTATGTCGAGTGTGAACCACTGTTGTTTCAATTTATGCTTTATGGCAGTAAAGATCTTGTATTATGCTTTTCAAAGTAAAAAATAAGTTTGATTAAGTTCTCTCCAGCCTTGTTTCCCCTAAGATGTCATTCTGGAGGAATTACTCCTGTCTTCCAGTGGTGTCATGCTGACTGTGTGAGACAAGCCTGCCACAAACCACTATAAACCAAACCACTGTCTGGGAGGGTGGTCCAGTGTGTCTGTTCCCTTCAGAGATGGCAGAAATATTTCTTCATTCAGCAGCAAAGGAAACCAAGAGGAAAAGGGAAACTAAGGGAAGGAAACCTAGTCTCTCAGGCTGTGATCTTCCACTTGCTCCTTTCTCTTAGGCACAGAAAGTTGCTGGTATTAGCATGAAATAGTATTTATTTTAATCTTACAAAGAAGCACATGGCTTCTGCTGCCCTGCTTTTGTTATTAATGCACAGCTGCTAAAAAGAGAGGCCATTAAACAGGCGATTTGTTGAGTATTATGCTGCGTGGTTCATCCCTTTTCAGGCAAAGCTTTTCTATTTTAAAAGTCATTCCTCAGCCAAGGGTTTCCAATGCAAATCTTTTAGTGGGGGATTTTCCCCTACTCATCACTTAAGCCCCCAAGAGAAGGGAGCTCTGGGAAGGGGAGCCAAGGCTGTGGCTGCTCCAGCCTGATTCAGCAGCAGGGAGGGAGGGCAGTTGGGCCTAGGACAGGTTTTCCCCAGAGACCACTTGGCTATTACTGCTTCCCCATCCCACTTTCTGGGAGATGGATCTGCACCTGTATCCCTTCCAAATGATACCCTGACCATGATCAAAGCAAAAAAACCCTCCCCTACTTAATAAATGCATGTTGTTATTGACAGAAAATAACCAAATCCTCTCACTGTTCTCATGTTTCTCTTGCCCATTATTGTACCTCCAGTATTTAGTCTAATAGAAGTGAAAAGACTGGGGGAAGACTAAACCCCCTTGCTTTTGGCGGTCAAAGCGAGATCAGTGTCAGAAATAGAACCTAAAAAGACAAAATAAATCACAGAAAACATATGCTCCAGGTCTTGCTGACCTCTCTGCTGATAAGGACTTGTCCCCAGGTTGAGAACAAAACAGCCTAAGTGTCAGATTTCGCTTTTCTGTGTGCTCCTTGTGCAGGGCAGTGGGTTTTCTTGCAGCTTTGCCCAGCTCACGAAAGGTTCATGGCCTGTGGGCAGCGCCCAGGTCCTTGTTTTGTGACCTTCAGCAGGGGAGGCAGGAGCACACCCTGCCAGCTCCCAGCACATTATCCCTGTGCACAGCATGGCGGGCCAGGCTGGAACTCCAGAAAAGCTGTGCAAGTGCAAAGGCACAAATCCTTCACCTGTTACATGAAGGTGGGCAGAAAAGGAGCAGTCAGTGAGGGGACAGGAGCCAGCTGCAGGAGAAGGGGCAGCTGTGGGTGCTGCTCATCTCCAGGGCCACCACTGCCCTGGGTCTGGATCCCTGACAAGACAAGGGGTGACACACAGGAAGAGAGGCTGAGGCTTAGTCTCGCCTGCCTGCTCAGGACTCTCCAGCTGCTCTGTAGGGCACTGCTCAGTCCTTACCTTGATAATCAGATTAGCAGGCAGGAAAGAGTCAGGCTGTAACATGTAGCCTGTGGATTAAATGGTCCTCTAAAGTGCAAATGTATTAATAAAACAAGCTCCTCACTGATTCCATTTCAGTGTACTCAGGCAGAGGAAATGGGAAATGGAGGTTTGAAACCAGCAATCTAGAAGTCAGTCCAAGTGTTTGGAAAGGATCAAGCAGGAAGGGCAGGGTAAGGATGGATTTTCATATCTCTGTCTGAAAATCTGGTTCTGAAGCCCGGCTGCAGAAACCCCAGCCAGAAGCAGCATAAGGTCTCTTCCTCTATGGGTTAATGCTGACCCCAGAACCCGCTTGGAAATGCAGACTTGCAATCCTACTTTGGTGAAATGGCAGAGCTGCAGCCAGGCTGGGAGGCCTGGGGGGGTGTCTTCAGGTTGGATTGGTCCCAGCTTTGTGCAAGCTGGTATGAAAGCAGCTGTAGAGCATGCTCATATTTTCATAAATCAGACAAAAACAGACTGAAATTGTTCAGAAAGTACTCAACAGAGAATGCAAATATCAGTTGCATGGCTCAGATCCAGGTGTTTGAGGTGAGAGGTCACAGGTTTAGCACTTGGGGTCCAGAGGTGGCAGGCAGTGATCTTCACATTTTCCCCAGTCTAAGTCTGGACATGTCTCTGCTTCAGCTATGAACAGGAAAACTAAAAAGCTGCTGAAATGTTAAAGTATTTCTATTGAGATTTTTTTTTTTCTTTTGGACTTTGTAGCAAAATGTGTCTGTGGTGACCTTCTGCTGTGTATGGTCTGCAACTCCTGAACTGTGAGCCACACAAAGATGTGCTGAGACATTTTAAAATACTGGCTAGTAGCCTTGAAAAAACCCTTCTGTAGTGTAATTGAACAGCCCACCCGGGGCGGCTGGCAAAGAGATCCGTGTCAAATCTGCTCCTGAACAGAGAGGTGCTTGTAGAAACCTGGTGCCTCCAGCCCCTTCCCCTCTGCACAAGCCAAAAGGGGAATTTAGGAGCTACCCTCTTCCTCTTGTTCTTGCTTGGCAGTGGCAGGGGCAAAGTCACAGCCGCTGTCACCTGCTGCCTTCCAGTGCTGGAGGGGAGCAGTGTGGGGGAGGATCTCTCTTTCATAAGATCTGCTCTGCATATCTGGCTTTTTGTACTTGTCAGCTCAAGATATTGTGCTACTTCATTTGAGTCAGGTATCTGTTTAGACCAGCTGGCTCCTACTGTGTGTCCCCAACCCAAGATTTCTCAGAAATGCAAAAAGGCTGCTAATAACTTCAGGGAGGGCAGGTGAGGTTAATCAGGCACTTCTCTGCTGGGATGGACACAGGTTTCCTGGGCTTGTGCAGCTTGACTGAGGATGCAGCATCCTTTCTGGTCTGCTGTTGTAAGTGATGGGAACTTAGGGCTGCTTTGTAGAAGAGCAGGGTGGAGTGGAAGAAAAGGGAAAATGGAATAAAGAGGTGGCACTAGACATGCCATTTTTTACCTGGTGTCAGCATTTGTCTGGATATCTAGCTGCAGACAGTGTCTTCTTGCAATACTCACAGCTCACATATAATCATATTTGCTGTACTGTGTCAGACCCAGTACAAATACCCAAGTAAGAGTCCAGGACAAATATTTCA